TTTGGGTTTGAGACATTAGTCTTTGCAACTTTAGGGATCTTATCTATGCACAAACAGCTTGTAACACTCCAAAGAGAAAGGAAAACTTGAAATCGCATCATATGACCCCTTTAAAGAGTGCACAGTCAATTGAATGTTTTCGAAAACTTAACTGCATGTAATTTGCACTTAAATGAAAATGCATTACAGTGTTTTTTGATCCACTTAAGTAGGATATAAATGCATTGTTGTATGTAATTTCATAACATATTGCCTTTGAAATATGATTAAAGTGTATTGCTGAATGTACTGACAAGCATTTATGGAACACTAAATTATATCATGTAACTGAAGCTTGTATATCATGTATTTAAATGTATTTGTAATGATGAAGTTGCAATTTAGTAATGTAATATCAGTGATATCAATTATCAAGTACTTGTGCTTTAATGTTAGTCAACACATCAAAATAAGTGCACTTCTTTAAAGCATGACAAAATATTAAAACATAATGATGTAAAGTAAACTTTAAAGTAAAACATTCTATTTGACATTATTACAAAGTGCACTTTTATAAAAAAGCATGTTAAGAAACAGTTATGAAAGTATACTCTCTTTAAGTGGCCTTTTATTTCATTAACATTACATTTCCTCCAAGTACATGTTTTTAAATTATTATATTTTAAGATTTGAAGTACACTACAAGTGCACATTAAATACAAATAAACACTTATTTTTCACAAGGGTAACAAAGACTAAAATGGTGAGGAATTACACCTACTGTGGTTTAGTGTCTAAAAACACTCAGCAACAGGACGCAAAATAGTAAATGACAACGACAACAAATCCTGTGGCCTGCTTGATAAAAATACCTAAAAAATCTGTAGAGCAGTAGTTACCAAATTGTTGTACACAAATCACCGAAACAGTCCTGCAAATTTATAGACAAGTAAAAGTAAGGTCATTTCAAATGATAAGAGGATGACAGCCACTGCTAGAGCATAGATTTAAGACTAAATTACACATAATATGACATATGCCTAAATGTATGTATTTGCATGTACTGACTGCTTAATAAAGTCTGACTAAAAAAAGATCCTGGGTGAGTTTCTGGCCGTAATCCAGAGCATGCAACTGTCTGTGTGAATCAGTCTGGGGAATCATTGCATGCGAGACTGCAACTGGATATAGTTAGTTCTGATGATAAACATCTCTGAAATGTGCTGTCAATTTGACATGATTAACACTGACAGAAATCCAGAAACTAAAGGTGATAATGCTCACGGGAACTAAGCAAAATCACACAAATTAGCCAAAATCATGAATGGACATCACTGCATCTGCATGTATTAATGCACGTGTTTATGAGCGTACTGTAAGGGCATGTGTGTGTGTGTGTGTGTGTGTGGATCAGAAATAGAATTCCCCCCCCCCCCAGAAATCCATCCAGCAGCCAAGCAACTCCAAATAAACACGAGCTGGTGGGTCATCTTACACACGCGCTTCATAACACACAAACACACACACACACACACACACACACACAAAATACATAACAGAGTCCAAAATGTATATTGGCCAAAATGTATAGTGCCACTGGGGTGGCACTATAAGGTACAAAAGCAAAAATGTACTAATAATGTACCAATATGCATAACTAATATGGACTTTTAAAGTACTAATATGTACCTTAAAGGTACTAATATTTACCATTTAGGGGTAAATAAGGCACAAGGATGTACCTTTTAGTTTTTGCACTTGG